AACAGAAACATACATACATATATACATAAGTACATACATACTTACGCACTGCAGCGGTTGTTCTTTCGTCTATCTATCCCGCCTCCTTCGTTCGTGTACTTTTCTCTCGCTTCTTTCTGCTCTCTGTCAATTCAGCCCGTAGGAGCTGCAGTTAAGCGTTGCTCTGATCGTCATGTAACTGTATGCCGTTCTTTCGCCTATCTATCCCGCCTTCTTCGCTCCTGTTCTTTTCTCTCGCTCTAGCTAAAGTTCGTGCTAAGCTCAGCAGCAGTCCCGTTCCTGCTGCTCCAACCATCTTTTTCTATCTTCCCCTTCCCCTTGCTCGCTTATTTCTGCATTTCGGCCCTGCAGGTAGTGGTGAGCTGATCGTTATCGCTCTCATCTATTTTATTTCTTTCGTTGACAAACAAATTTTGCATTTACAAAGTTGAACCTGACTGGCTTTCTGTTCTATCCATATAGCAATTGTAACTGATCTTAGCAAATCTTCTTCGACCTTTCATGCTGATCTCCAGTCTGCCTATTATGTACAAATCCTGACCCTACAATTAGTTAGTTACCTCATTTAAATTTTAATTGTTTTCCCCCACCCTTAAGTAGTCTCTGCCTTTCTCTCATCTCTTTGATTTTCTTCCGACACATCTCTCACTCTCTGTGTTCACAGTTTCCACATTTCTTTGCACTCTTTGCAATCCTCTCTCCAAGTAGCAGGGCAATTAACTGAACTTTGTCGTAACTTCCCCACATTTACAACCTAACGGTAGCTTAGCATTGGCGACGACATTGGCAAAGATGGGGGCAGGCAGCAGCCTCCAGCGACAACAGCAACAAACAAAAACAAAAACAGCAACAAAAACCATAATGATTTATTTAAAGATAGCAGCAAATACTCGTAGCACCGCGACTAAGGTTATAGCGTTGGGCACCCCACTTGAGCACGATGCCCGACGACAGTCTCCCCCTTTGCTATTCCGATTATTCCGATTGACGGAAGGGGAGGGGATTCAAGCATCCAAGTATTCGAGTATCCAAGCATCGCATCAAATCGAATCTCCAATGCAGTCATCGAACGTGGAGCAGCGTTATGTGAGACAAGGCACCCGCATAGCTGAGACTTGCGAATGGTCACCGAACGTCGCAGTTTGGAGTGGGGAGAGGTTGCTGGGCGGGAGGAGGGTGTTACTCACTCGGAGGGGAAGTGCCACTCGGTGGCAGTGTTCATTATATAAACAAAGCAAGGAAAACAAGAAATCTGGCAACAAATCAGTAGAAAAAAGTGATTTCATTTGATGGGGAACAACGAGAGAGCCAGATAAAACGGCGCAAAACTTGGTTGGTTTCCGACCAGCAGCAGACAGACAAACGGACAGACAAACAGACAGACACTAACTGACTGACTGACCGAATGAGATCGGAGATCGTAGACTCTGTTAGACTGCTCTTACGTCCAGCTCGTACTCCGATTGCAGCTCGGAGTCGAAGTCCAAGTCGGAGTCGAAGTCGATCCAGTTATGAATAAACATTTGCCGCATGTTTGTCTGGCTTAATGGAGGCAAAGAGGCGCGTGCGTCTGCGTTGCACAGCTCGTAAGAGAAATAAAAATCGTTTGTTGTCTGCTTCATTTATTTCTCTTGCCATTTGATTTTCATTCCATTTCATTTTTAATTTCATTTCATAGCAATTAGCAAGTCAAAAGGAAACAAGTTGTCCTGTCCAACTGCCCAGTTCCAGGTCGAGTTTTTGTTGCCCATTTGGCATTTACCCAACAGCGACGTCGTCAGAGATGGGCCAAAAACGTGCCCTGACCCACCATAGATTATCCGTTCGATTCCTGTGAATTATGGGACTCGAGCTCTACACTGCAATTAACGAAAGTTTAGCTGGGCTTTGCTTGGCTGCATTTTGAGTTGCCCAAAGGGATTTTGGTGGCAGATTTATCCGCACAATCCGACAAGGGGGCGTGTGCGTAGTGCCAGCCAGCCTATGGCCAATCGAAAGTTGTAGCCCCAGAAAGCTGCTTCCTAATTAGACAATTTCTCTATTACTGCAGAGAATTCGATGGAACAGCTGCGACGACCGGCAGTCTGTTTGGCAGTCTTTGCCTTTCACAAAGATCTATCTGTTCACACAATTACAGCTGTAGCTAATCAAAAGGGCATTGATTTTTATGAACTGTTGAGCATCCCAAATGGAAGACCTGAACGTGGACGATGGCCCCCAGCCGATGGCGATGGCGATGGCGTCACCTGCTGTTCAAATCTTTGCATTTGCAGTGAAACGTGCTGCAAAAAAGTGGAGAAGAAAACTGAAAAAAAGCTGCAGAAAAACAACAACCGAAAAAAACGTTAACCATCATGATGCAAGAGAGAAAGAAAGTTGCAACTCGTGCCTCATAAACGGCAATCTCCGGACAGAGCCAAACCCATGAAAAATCTCAGCCACCAAAGCACCAAGCACCACCAGAAAAAGGGACCCAGGCGCCTGGGTCAGGCCAATCCAATCGAGTCAGCCCCCCTCCGAGTCACGTTAGGGCATGGTTAGCCAACCGCCGACAGAGATCGCCGCCTGAGATGCAGTTTTGGGCATCCATCCATAATGTGCATATTGCTGTTGAGTCTTTTTCGCTTTGCGGTTTTTCCGATTCTGTTTTCTTTTTTGCTTTTGTTTTTTTGTATCGAGTGCTCGCTTTTTGACACTAAATTGCCTTGACTAAATCCATGTCCCAGGTCCATGGCAGCGGCGGCGATGGCTTTTACCTCTAACGAAGTGTGAAAGATGCCTGGTCTTTGATTCGATTTGATTGCCCAACTGTGGCATGCACCATACCACACTCTGCTGGAAGGTTCGTTTGTTGCTGCTGCTGCTGCCTGCTGCTTGCACCGTGAAGATGTAGTTAACAACGTGACTATGTAATCAGCATCAGCTTCAGCCACTTGCCACTGCCAATGCAGCAGCAGCGCAAGGAAGTTGCTCCGCTTCGAGCTTTCAATCGCTGCTGCTGCAAAGTGCAAATGATTTTCACCCCGGCCACACCTCCTGGTCAGCCTTTCGGACAACCCCCACTGACACGGCTGTCGTTTCGTTACGTTTCTAACAAAATTAATTTCGGCAGCAACTCATGACCACGTGTCCGGTCAGGATGGCATCTGGCTACCTCTTACTGTGCCTCTGGCTGCTCCTACAGATTGCGCACACGCAGCGCGTGATGGCCGCATATATTGAAACGTATACTGATTATGGCCACAATCACGATGAGCAAAGGGTAAGTGTGGGAACAGCAACTCCATCCACACAGACATGACTCTGCTTCCACTCCACACAGCTCCACTACTCCCATCAATATCACATCTCCGATCCGCAGAGCCAAGTGCACATTCTGCATCGAGAACAGCGGCGAGGAGATCATGTCCTGGGCACATACAGCCACCTGGAGCCTGGCGGATACATACGCAGCGTTCACTACGAGGTGCGTGGACCCCATCGCGGCTTCAAGGCTGTCATTCAGCAGCGAACGGCGCACAGTCGAGTGCATCAGTCCCTGGAGTTGCGGCGCAAGCAACCGCCTCGGGCCCTGGCCCTGGCGCAGCCTGTGGCATTTGTGGTTTAAACCGGACCGGACTGGGTACTCTGCTTAAACCTCAATTTACGCATCCCACAGTAAACAACAAAATGTTTAATTGACTTTCAATGATTTCGCTTTTAAGTGAATTTCGAACTTGAAATTTAAATTGATTTCGGGTGCTTCGCACATGTAATTTGAGCGCAGAAATTGTATGAATTATAAAATGTACATTGTACATGCATAATTTTAGATGCTAAATTAATCAACGTGAAGTGAATCATTTGCCAGTGTGTTGGGTGTTTCATTTAATTGGCAGACCATGCAAGAGAAGTTACCTTTGAGTTGAGCACCTCCTCAGGCTGTAAGCAAATTACCTTTAATTTCATATTTAGTGTGTTCTATAAGCCAAGAAATTACTGCTGGCTCACTTTTCGAGCCATGCATTTTGAGCTGAATTATAATTAATGAGGGGTCCGTGGCAATTGTTGTTGAGTTATACATGTGGCATGTGGCATGTGGCTGCTGGCTTGTGGCGATAGCCATTAAACCTGCCCATAAAACCCGTTGACAATCCAAGCAACTGTTAACGGCACCACAACGAAAACTGAGGGATTATATTGCAGTTAAAAATCAAATGATTGTATTTTTGTTGGTTCAATATTTTGTTGTGCTAAAATTATATTGTTTCCATTGCTGGTCAGGGTCTGCTCTTGCGCTCTCAGGCCGCTCTGTGATCAGCGGTAAATGATGGGCCCCCAGTGGCCGATCGATCGTTCAACGACACTGCTAATTGCTCACTGGCTAATTGCCAACAGGGGTTGTCTTTCAGCCTTTTCGCTTTTGCCGCGCGGTTCGTGCCCAAAGCCCGGAGGCTATGAAAAGTCGCTCCAGAAAGTGCCAATCAGTGGGTACGGGTACGGGTACGGGTGCTGCTCCGTTATTCCATTTGACAGCTCACCTTGTCCCGTTTGACCTTTTTGCTGTGACCCCCCTGGAAGGCAATTAAAAGACACTTTAGGCGCCATCTCGAACACGCTCTCTCGGCGGTTTCCACACATGCACATGGCTGGTCTTTTCCCGCCTCTAGTTCGTTGCCCAAGTCTTTGGTTTTTCGCCGAAAGATTGTGCCCCGGGGGCTAATAGTTTTTATATATAGTTAGGGCAAAGTCTGTTGCTTGTGGGACAGGGACTAGAGATTTTTATGTGCAGCTCAAGATCTGACACTTTAAGGCGGGAATTTCACTGTGTTTAAGTGTCCTTTGCCATGACCAACTTCTAGTAGACGCCAACGAACTCCACAAGGCAAAATGTATAACAAAAATCGAGGATAAAGCTAGCAAAACGCACACTAAAAGGAGTACTTTCTTGGAGTAATATTTCCCTGATTAACTTTCCTTTTCTAGTCACAAATTCTTCACTCTGTGGCACTCTTTTCTGGTAGGTTTTATTACTGGTTGTTTTTATTTATTAATAGTTATTTACAACATTTTACGGGGCACGTCTTAAGCTTAACTCTTGTTTCGTGTGCGTGTGTGTGTGTGGTGTGTATTTTGTATTCACTTTTATTTTTGTTTTCTGCACTGGCACCGCCCCGCGCTGCTCAGCTCAGCTGGTCTGTAACGAGTTTTGCAGCTCCTGCTGCTGCTTCTTGGCCAGCTTCTCCTTTTGCTGCTCCAACTCGAGATGCAGCTGCTGGAGTCGCTTCTGCTTGTTGAGCTTCTTCAGGTGGGCGCTCTTCTCGTGTGCCACCTTGTAATTGGCAATTGTTGTGGGCTGTATTGTCGATGTCGAGCTGGGGCTGGAGCTGGAGCTGGTGTCTGTGTCTGCCTCTGATGTGGCAGCTGTTGGACTGGGACTGGAAGCTACTGGAGCTGCCGTTGTGGTACTTGTAGATGTAGTCGTTGTGGTGGTTGTCGTTGAGAAACTGGAAGGCAGAGCCTGCTTCTGCTGGGCCTGTGCCGCCTCTTCCTCGAGCTGCTGCTCGAGCTGCGCCTGCCACTCCAAGGCCTTCTCCTCCACTGGCAGCTGCTGCAACTGCAACGAGATGATGTATGCGATTATGACATGGACATGGACATGGACATGATTGCAAATGATTGCAGATGAAAAGGAACAGTGAGTGGGATGTGTACGAGTGGCAGAAAAGCATTTACAAAAGCAATTTGATCTCATGGGGTTCTCTGTGTTTTTGTTTGTCTGTGAGGCTTGGCTTTAATTTCTTGTACAATTTCTATATAGATCTAAATGCATATCAGTTAGGTAGGTAGGTAGCTATATATCAGTAGCGCAGATACCGCTTGCGGCTCTCGTATTGCCTTACATAGTTCCAGGGATAGGACGCCTGTTTGGCTGCCTTCTCGTAGGCCTTGTACTTCTTGGTCTTTGCATTGTACTTGCCCTGCAGCTTGTCGGGCAGCACAATGGCCGTATACTTGATGCCCACACCGGGCACATATTGTGCCGCCAAGCCCGGCACCGATGTGACTCCGGCACTGTGCACGGAGCTGGCCAGCTGTCCGTAGTTGATCGAGTTGCCCCTGGGCGGCTGATTGTTGTAGTTGGGCGGGGCATAGGGTCCGGCGGGTATGGCCCAGGTGCGCGGACGGGATGGCGGCGGCAGCACGTACCTGTCGAAGAGTGAAAGGCAAAACGGATCAAAACGTGAACTCTCTCGAGCTCTCTCTCTCTACACTTACACATAGGGATTGGGATTGGGTATGTCATTGCTTTGGTCCTCCCAGACAGGCGCCGGTTGGCGGTACGGCTTCTGCGGCGGCCGTGGCGTCGTTCGTGGCGGCGGCGGCGCTATCGGTCCTGTGTTTGTGCCCCAGTCCACCCGTATGGCCTGCGTCCCGAGGCCCAAACTGGCGACTGTGACTAGCAGCAGGCATGGAGTGAGCTGGAGGAAGAAAACAAAAACAAGTAGCAAATATTCAGAGGAACATCATCTTCGGCGTGTTTGACAAATTGTTACATGGCTGTGAACAAAAGGCCTTCAAAGGCGATAGCCAGGCCGCCCCCAATTTATCTCAATTCGCGAGTATCGAAAACACGCTTCACCTTATCAAATACAAATACAAAAACCAAATCGAAAATCGCATCGAGTAACCCAATTGTTATTAATTAAAAAAGCTTTATGTAGTCGCATGGCAAATTGTGCGACAGCCTTATGGACTTGACTTCGATTCAAAGTTGAATCTCGTGTGTAATAATGACAATTACATCAAGTAAACCCCCCGCCAAACACCCCTCTCCAAACTACTTCAAGCAATGTCAAGTGTTAAATTTGCTGCAGCTGTTTGTTTGCGTATAGAGAGCCTCATTGTTTGGCTGTTTTGTTGTTTAAAAATGTGCTGAAATGTTCCGAGAAATTGCTACTCCATTGCCAGCTTGCACTTTGGCCGCCTATGAATTATAATGAATTTATTTATACATATTTATGGGGGCCCAACTGTTTGTTTGTTAGCTTAATTGTCTCTTTGCTGGAATCATTTGCTCGCATAATGGATTTTATTTTATTGTTGATTAATTACATTCAATTCAATTCCAGTTTAATGCGATTCGTTATTGTTTGACACTTTTTCTGATCATTCTCAAATCGATTACAATAAAAACGACAACGAAACGAAACGAAACGAACCCGCTGCTGCAGAATGCGACATTATTTATTATTCTGCACTGCCTTGTAGTTATTTTTATTGGCCGACCGACTGGCTGGGTGTTTGCCTAACTAATGATCCATTAGGAAGTGTCCACGAGAGCGAGAGCCAGAGCCGAAATGAGGAGAGGACTGAGGTGTGGAGGGGAGCGGGTGAAACCTTTACTCCAAAGATTGGTCAATAGTTGTGTCATGTGTAGCCGGTTGGCATTTACTGCCCGCTAAGGAGGATAGGCATCTGGCAACAAATTTGTTGGCACAAGCAAAATGCCAAAAATGGCATCAATAACAGAGATTTATAGATTCCACAATTGAATGGCTCTCAAGCTGCGGATTGAGGAGCCATGGGAGTGGCCATAAAATAGATTGAAAGCTGGATAAATATGATTGATTTGTAAGGTGTAAGAGATACGTTTTTGGTGCTTGGCAGGGGCACTTTTCCTGTCAAGGTTTCTGGGTAGTAAAGCAGCGAAATGGAATGCCAAAGTTTGCTTCAAGTTTTCTTGGCTAAAGAAATGCAATTATAGATGTGGATAATTGGCTAGAAATCTGCGGGTAAGTGGCTAACATTCTAGCCAGCTGATTTACGACAGTCACATTGTAGGTTGGGTCTGAAAATTGCCACAAAGACAGCTCCATTTGTGGCTAATCCACTTCCTTATTAAGGAATTTCCAACAAAGAACTTGCAGCGGGTCGGGTCTTGCCTCAATATATTTATAAAGATTTATTGATTACTCAATTGTTAGTCGAGAAAGTGGACTGGCATTACCCAAAGCTCTCTTTTAAACATGCAAATTCGTAATACACCGCTCCCCATGTTTATTTCTGTCTGCCCATCGACATGCAAGCCCAGGCCCGAATGTTGCACAAGCTGCCATGCAAACCAATTGCTCGACTTGTTTTGGCTGCCACTTTTTATGATAACTTATGAGAGGCTCACCGAAAAAAAACTCACTTCACCAATCGCTTAAGTAGAGTAAATACTCCACAAGCAGCCCGAAAATAATTGTCATGTGCATCGATTGACGATCGTCGATCGTCGATCGTCAAAAGTGTGGCCTTCATTTCAGGCATGCTTTTATGATTGCACACAGCAATGACACACACAGAGAGAGAGAGAGAGAGAGAGAGATACACAGCCAGGTACCAGTACGAGTATTGCTGCAACAAAAACCCGCATTGGCAATATGCCAATAAACACTCGTCGTACTTTTGTCAATGCAAAATCGTCAATCAATTAGCCAAATGGAGCCAACAGACGACGACTCTGTGTATCATAATTGCTGGCATTAAGGTTAGGCTTTGATGACGTCAAAATTCGATTCAATGTGCCACCAAATCTGCCCGCTCATAGTTGTCAAAACAAAAATATGTTTGTGGGCTCAGCTATTCAGCTTTTCAGTGATCGTGGAAGCCTTTTAATGGCTCCAGTTTTGACAAGACCTGTTATTAAGTAGCATGAGATGCCATAAGCTTGAAATTTGTGTAACAATGGTCGGTCGGTCGGTGCGCCCTGTAGGTGGGCCTTGCTGCTGCTTCGTGTCACTTCCGACAGACATAATGGGTCTGTCGCCGCAGACCCTGAACTTGAGAGGGAAACCAAACCAGTGCCACCGCCAGGAAGCAGCCAAAAGGTAGCCCAAGCTGGCTTGTGGCTTAATGGGCTGCCTACAAGAATTTTATTTTGCGGCAGTTGAATGAACTCTCCTCTTGTGGGTCGCCTCTCCTTAATTGGCGGCTGTGTGGGGGGGCCACTCCTTCCGCTCGATCTTGATCTCGTTCTTGATCGTGGGGAGTGTACCGAAATTCTGTTTGCTAATTAAAAACAATCAATAAAAGAACCGCGCTCCATTACAGCAGGCCGCTGCACGGCGTTTACACACCGCATTATCATTATCTTTGATTAACGCAGTTTAGTACGAAAAATAATCATTTATTATCAAATGACTGGCTGGACGGGGCGGCAGTTATGGCTCCAGCCAGCTTGGCTATAGGTTTTGTAGCTTTTTGTTTTCCGATCGAAGCTCAAATTAAGTGCTTAGTCAAAAAAGCATAAAATGTTGCACAAATTTTGTTTGCAGCTCGAAATTTTGGTATTTCTTGTGTGTGTGTGTGTGTGTGTGTGATTTTTTTGGGTTAAGCTTAGATTTAATTTAATGTGGAAAGCACTGCTGCAGACTCCTTAGCCAGCAGTCTGTCTGTCTGTCTGTCTGTCTGACCGCCTGTCTGTGGTGTGGCTAACCAGCGCTAAGCAGCTGTGGCTGAGGCTTTGGCTATGGCTGTGCCCCTTGAACAAATCGCTTGAGATCTCTGCGGTGCAGCCTCCCCAGTCTGTCTCCTAGTAAATCTCTTTTATTGCACAACATTATCAGAGATATTCGTGGCTATTCCAATCCCAATCCCAGTTTCAGTTCCAATCCCAGCCTCGGAATGGTTCAGTCCAAAATGTAAAACTTGCATTTGGCGTGTTCAAAATGTAATTCGATAATAAGTATGCCATAATCATTTTTTAAACGCCTTAATTGAAATAATTTATATTGGCTTATGGCGCTTATGGGTGCTTATGGGGGTAGCCCCCATCGACCTACTCCCCCGCCAGCCGCCATCCCTCTGCCCACACACCTCATTGGCTTGGTGGTTCGTGCGGGCTGCAAAACTGCAATTTAATTATGAATATGGCTTATCATATTTCACATATTTCGTTTGGGGGGGAATTTTCAGGCCTTCGTTCATTTGTGAATTGCACTTTTCGCAATGCGGGTAAAAGTTGAACATGAACAATCGATGGGGGGACTGGGGACGCGCATGAAAAATGATTATTCCCCGAAAAATGAACACTCGCACTGGGTGCTCGTGTGTCTGTGGGGGCGATGAAAGTAAGCCAATGATGTGGCTATTGAGGAATTGGGGTTAACGCAGTTCACAGCAGCAAAACTAAAGAGCAAACAGTGACAGCGATCTGATTAATGAAAGAAAAGTAGAGTCAAGTAGAAGGGCAAAAGCCGCACATTCATCAATCAAAATGCTTTCAACACACGATAGACGAGTGTGAGGGGGTAAAAGTAAGAGATAATTGAATAGATTATTCAAGCTATAAGCGGCTTAAGCACTATTATGTGTTGCAGTGATCTTCTTTATGGAAAGGCTTTAAGAGCGCCATTGAAAGGGATTAAGTCATAAGAGGGGGATTAGAGGTGTCTGTACATAAGATCTGGGGAAGATGACATGAAGAAGCGTAACGTAAGAAGATGATCAAGAAAAGATAAGCAAAAATATCCATGAATAATCTTTTATAATGATTTGTAGATGATTAAACGACAAGACAAACAAAAGCAGGCGATCAAAAGAGGAATTAATTTTAATATTCCATTCAATGAAATGCTTTCCGTTTGCCGCTCTACAAGTGGCTTGTCCACACACACACTTCTGGGGTGTTACATCCGTTCGATCTAGTTGCTAATTATGTTCAAACAAGAACCATCAGTATGCAAATTATATGGCCATGGCCTGATAATTACATAGCACTGCTCTGCACACTCGTATATCAAGCAAAGCCAGAGCTGATGGTGGGTGTGCTCTGCCCTGTGTGTCATCCATAAATCTGACTTTTCACTTACGCGCGCTAGTCCGTACATCGTACATTTTACATCTTAATGGGTTCTGGTGCAGAACCTGAGAAGACATCCGGCAGATCACTGAACTGGCTCCAAGTATCTACACATAGAGTGCGGGGCATGCCTGACTGCCTGGCTGCCTGACTGCCAGTCTGTCTCCGGCTGACCTTCGCTCGCATCGAGAATCATAAATAAAGGGTTTAAGAATAGCAGCAGTCGCTCGGAGAATGACTTCATCTGCCTGAAGTCGAACAGCCGAAGCGTGTCACGTAATTAGCTGCTTTATTACAACGCTGACGGAGTGGGCCAGCTGGCCAGCGGACTCCACTCACTGATTTGCATATAAAGTGCTGGCCTAGCCTCCGATTCCGATTCGGATTCCGATTCCGATTCCGATCTACAGACTCAGATTCACTCTCAGTTTCTCCAGTCATATCCATCTTCATCTGACGCTGCGTCAGAGAAGTTCAAGGCTTGGCAAATTGTCGCTCACTCAATGCAGTAACCGCAGCAAAACCCATCCATCCATCCATCAATTAGCTCGCAGCGACCTTGATAAATCAGAGAACAAAACAGACAAACAACATGGCACGTTGCCCAGTAGTGTAGTAGCCTCCCTTTTGTGCCACTGCCACCCCTTGGAGCGCATTGAAGCACTCGAAAGCTGGCGTTAAATTTGAACATGGCTCTTTGACGCCAGACCATTATTTTGTGGCTCAATCCGATGATGCCCTGCCCTCCCCCTGGCTGTATGTAGTTTCGTTTTGCCTTTTTGGCTGCGCTCATTTGTCACAGCGCAAAGTTGTTTCAATTTTTTGAGCATTTTCTTGCCAATTTTATGCATACCCCTGCCATACCCCAGACGAGGGTACAATCTTTCCTCTTGTCTCTTACAATCTCTGAGACAGACTTGTCCTGTAGCTACAGGAGTTTCCTCTTAGCCTTCCTTTTCGGTACTCTTGCCTATCATTAGACTGACTTTTCATTGCATTCATTCGCTGTGGAAGTACAAAGTACCCAGTCCAAAAATATACACATAATATTCAATTCAAGCTTCCTCATCAGTCAGTCAGAAGTCTCATGCAGTTCAGGCCTAACCTTGTGCGGGAGAACGTACACAGATCCACAGCAGCCGCTTTGATCTCTGCGTGGATCAGCGAATCGGTGGCTCAATGGAGTGGATCGTCGGAAGATGTGTCTTGAACTATGATAGTTGATTGGCAGCGATTTGTTTCGGCTGCGGTGAAGGGAGATGCCTGCCTGCTCGTGTTTTGGAGTGTCTTGGGTTCCGAAAGTGTTTCTAGTTTCATATTTTTACACATTTTAGAATGTCTAGCCCCAGCCAGCACTTGGCCCAGTCAAGTGTTTGGCAATCGAGTGGATATTAAAATGTGGATACCCCAAGAGGGTGCTTCAGAAAACACTTTTGTTGACACTAAATGATCCATTGAGATGCCTTAACTTTCCCTCTCTTACCGAAAAGAGTTTATATATTTTTCTATTGTTTTATGGCCATTCCATTTGCATACTTTCCACGCTTAGCAAACAAATTTGAATGTGATTATGCACTTTGATTAATTGCCACAATGTTCCCATGCTATTTTGCTGCGGGGTTCAGCCCAAGTCAAGTCCACAAAACCCAAGACAAAAGAATATTCAACAGAGTCGATAAAAATCGATGGCCAGCAAACAAACAAAAACGAAAACCAACAAAAAAATAAAATGATTTGCCAGTCGAATAATAATATTTATAAGCAAACGCAGACGTGGGAGTCAATCAGCCAAATAAATTGGCAACAAAAAAACACACACACAAAAAGGAACACACCAAAATTCCAGAAGGTAATAATATATAAGTAGACATCATGTTGATTTCAATTACGTTGCCAAAATGCTGTCTGCCCCTTGCCCATTTAATGCGCATTTTGAACCTGCTCAATGGGGGTTAATGAAATTTTTGCATTGAATCTACGATATTCATAAGCAAATTTCTTGTTTCCCGTAGATCGCAGCTCACCTCACCCGCATTGGCAATGACTCCTACGTGGGAGGATTCTACTTACAAGACCCAGGCATTGTGCCTGAGATTCCCAGCAAAAAACTTGACCTTTTTCGCGGCTAAAGTTGATTTCACTCTTTACATACAGAACATGCAAGGGGCGTAGGCAGTGCGTCCGACTTGGCTTTTAATGAACGCAACAAAATTGAGAAATTAAATATGTATCTGTGTGTGTGTGTGTAAATGATTCGAGAAGCGCTTACAGAAGCTGCGGCAGCAGCGGCATCATGAAGGCTAACAGCTTGTCTCTCATGTGCCCTCAGTGAACTGTGCTTCTGGTGGTTATATTTTAATGAAACTTTGCCTAAAAAGTTATGCATATAACCAGTAGATTATAAAGTTGTACAAGAAAATATTTGCCTCGGTGAATGCTCTCTGGAATGTTGCCAAAAGTGAGCACTCAATCTTTTTTCTCATTTGCTGGAATATATTTTGTTGGTTAATTGTCAATTATTCTAGGCTAGATTCCAATCTACATAAATAAGTCTGAGGGTATGGCCCAGGGTAGACAAATGTTTTTTGTCAGTGTTAACCATTTCTGGTTTGGTTTCTGGCCACTCGATTGCCAGGCTGACTCCATCTCGATAGCAGAGGCTCATTGAATTTCTGGCATTTTGGGCGGCACAGTTTCGCAAAAAAAAAAAGAGAGAAAAAGTGAAGTAATAACTTGCATTTTGAGTAGGGCACTCGAATGCGTCTCGCCGTCCGTCGCTGGACCCCGACTAACCTGGGCGCTAATCATAAATCTGCAAGAAAAGAAAAAAACGCAACTGCAAGTCAAGACGGCTAATCAGTGGGTTGCAGAGCCCCCAAAAGTTAATGCCTGTCAGGCAGTTAAGTGTTTTGAACTTTTCGACTGGAATGCTGTGGAAATTGTGGCAGGGATTGGGGGGTGGTGGGGGAAAAGATAAATAAATCGAAACGAAACGAAAAGCGAATCAAATCAATCGACTACAAACAATGGACTCGACTCCAACGCTGGGCCCAAGACAATGGATCGATTGGTTTCGTGTGTTCAGGAGGTCAATGTGCTACCGTTAGAGTTGAAACACAAACAAATTATAGTTGCAGACTGGTCGCAGTATTGATTGTTTGTCCAAACAAACCAAAATCGCCAGTTAATTTGTATAATTAGTGGCTTTGTTGGCATTTCTGCATAAAATAAACATTAGCCCGAGCCGTCGCAGGGGCATGTAATGCAGTTAGACCGTCATGCCTGCTATGGTATACAAATATTTGTCAATCCAATTTGAATTACAAACAAAATGATAACCGAGAGTGCATGACAAATGGCCTCCTGGCCTTTTGGGTTAGTGTTGAAAGCGTTGTTAATGATTTGTGGCTGAAGATCATGCAACAGCAATTTGGAATGCGCTTGAGGAAGTCATTTTTAAATGAACAATCAAATATGAAATGAGTAAATGGAATATTAATAAAAATATACTTATGCTTGTCTGTGGTTAGGTTCGGGGTCTTTTCGGTGTTTCAAAAAATAAATATATAATCGAATACGTTAATTACTTAAATGATGTTGCACAAATGCTGCCTTTGCCTCTGCCTTTTGACAATTAATGACGCTGATTTCACCAAGACCCAGACAGCGAGTCGTTCGCATTTCGTTTCCGGTGAGACATCAGCCACAGCGAATCAGTGAATAAACGAACTTGCCACAGAATCATATACTTCACGTACACAATGATGCGTGCCAGAATAAATACTTGTAAGAGTTGACAACAAACCGCAGAAACACAGACAGAGAGACTGAAATTTGTGGGTCATTGCCTTGTCGATTGCTGACTTACAGCAAGAGATCAGACAGACAGGCAGACAGACATTTCATTTGTTTGTGGCTTGTCCTTGGGCCAACAGAAATTATGGGAGTCCACTTGGGCGGGTGATGTGTTTGTGTGTTGTTTAATAACATATTTAAGGAAATTTGAGGGAAGAAATGTTCTCACAGCAAAATGCTCTTTCCAAGTTGTTCTTTTCGCAATTATGGGCATACACTGAGAGCTGTTATTAGCCATATTTAATTACATATTTAACGTAAACGTGTGTGAAGAAATGTTTTTAAAATTGCCAAGAATAATTCTGTAATTGTAAATCCCAAAGGGCACTTCCCTGAGTACATCCCCCGGAATTATTGAGTAAATGTTCCCACACATATTCCAAAAAATTGTATTACAAAGTAAATTCCAAGCAACACTTCTCCTTCCCTTCACCTTTACAGGTATGAGGATGAGGCAAGGTCCATTGACACGAATGAATGCCTGCCTGCGCCCTGATATCTAATTTATTCCGTTTGTTCGCTGGCGTGTGTGACAATTTCTGTTGTTGAGTGTGTGCACACTGATTTAATTACGCCAAAAAATGATGTGTGAGAACCCGCAAATATTCGAAACGTGCATAAATATGTATTTTTGCTCTGATTGAGCCACACAAAACCAAAAACAAAAACAAAAACAAAACAAAGAAAATGAGAATCAACGCTTGACTCTCGGGACACACGTGTTTAAACTCAATTATGGAACGCAAATATGAGTATACATGTGCATGTAAATTTAAATAAATGTAATAATAATAATTATAATTTACTTCTACTTACCATTTTGTAATTTGATATTTTCAAATGAAACTCGAAACTTCTAAGTCGATCAACTGCAAAAAGATTTGTATGTGAAATGTGTGTGTTAAAATGGATTTACAGATTTGAGAAACAGTCACTTTTGGGGGTCGCAAAATGCGAGTAGGACAGAAAGTTGTTTTTAGGATATTCACAGAGATCTGGCATTAGGTTTTTTTTCTAGCAGCCAACAGCAGCAACCGGCAACAGATCGGCTGCCGAACGACTGACTGGTCAGCCTCAATCAAATATCATTCCCCACTCCAAATGGATGCCGCTGCCTGGTAATAGTAGACGTCTCTGGCATATCGAATGACATGTGGGACAATATCAAATCAGATTTATGGTAAATATCAAATGGAACGGGCCCGAGTCTATCGGCGCCACCACCGCCTTCCATTATGCAATCCCATTACTTAGTTGGACCCTAGTGAATGGTTTTTTCTTTTTTATACTTCATTTTTGGCGCTGATTGTGTTGGCGATGGCGATGACGATGTCAGTTTGGGGTCTCAATTGCCAAGTGCCCGAGGACAGTCCACAGGCCGCTGCCCGTCCCATGGCGGCGCATTAGGGTATCGAGAGCGAGATCGCGACCGAGATTCGCTCCACAAATGGATGGGGGCAGGCTGATAACAGCCTGAAAAACGGAAACTACTTTTGGGCGGTGTCCATTGAAGGCGGGGGCGACCGAATGACGACGACCTACTAGCCGGCAAACAGACTCGAACGATATGTCGCGCATGCGTAAATTTTGGCTTCCAATTTAAATGTCCATTTTCTTGAAAATTGAAGGTACGAGTAATTTTCAATTGCCTTTGGGGTCTTGCGGTCGGTTTTTTGTTTTTTGTTGTTTGGTCGCCACTGCCATGTCGCAAAATGTAGCCAAATGTGAGCCACATGCCACGCATTTTAAGTGCTGCGGCTAACTCTTTCGTTTTGGCATCGTAAATATCCCTGAGACAAAGTCTCTTGAAAGAAGAAGGCGTGCTAGTATGTGGTTTACGAGCCAGACGCACGGCCCGGCCCGGCCCGGCCCAGACGCAGAACGCAAAACGCAAAACGCAGACAACGCCAACGATAACGCGAGCCCAAGTCACGGTTAACACATGGAACGTGACTATATCGAAGTGAGAATGTATTTATGCCTCTGAGTTACTGGAGTTACTAAAGGTACGCAGCCAAAACTTTGGACTACTGGAGGTCACGCACTAATCGCAGCCCAGAATCTGTCGCAAACCTGTTCTGGCTGTGTACTCGTAACCTTAAGTGTGGCTCTTAGGCTCTTGAAATATATGTGCATAAATTTAATTAAATGTTTATAGTGCAGACAAACTAGTTGAGGATGCGGCACGGTATTCAATTTATTACGTCGTGTGGCCATAGTATAAGTCTCAGCAAAACGCGAAACCAATTTGTGCAAATTAACAAGGTTTTTATAACCACACTCTGAACTCTCGCATGCTTTTCATAGTCATGTTCATAATCATATTCATAGTCATGGGTGGGCAACACCCAACTTCAAGTACCCACAATTATCTAAGAAAATATTTCCGGCACTTAAAAGGCGAAGAAAAAACTATTTGTAGATGAAACAAAGTACATATAAAATGCCACACTCCTATTATACGTATGGTCGGCATGCATTATGGCCTCTTATTTCACTCATTTCAATGTTTTTGTTGCATTTAAAAAGGCAATGAACATTCAACAAAATTCTGTTAGTCAGGTTTTCCCTTCCCTTTCCTTCCTCTGTGCAGTGAAATAATTGTTGGCCAGACGAAAGATTCATGGGCGAATTGTTTAATTTATGGCGTTTCTAGAAAACAGATTTTTGCCTTCAGATTCGTTTAGTTTTGGGGTTGCAGTTATTTTTTTGACAAATGTTTTTGTTGCTGTGGCAGTGCGTGCCAAAAAATGGCTGGAAAACCGCCTTCAAATTGTATTTATCTTTTGTGGAATTGATTTATTTATTTGCATAAATTTAACACGCCTGCAACGGCTGCAGCAGTCACAGCCTCAGCCACACTCGAAAGCGTAGTCCAACTTTGAGTTGGATTTTGGGAGGCGAGCGAGGGAGCCTCCAGGCTATAAATTGTCTGCATTGCTGCACGCAAGTTTGTTGCCCAAGTCTTTTGTTTTCTTGTTTCGTACTCCTTATTTTTATTGGTTTTCCGAGAGTCGTATATGTTTTTTAGCACTTCACGAAATTCTCGCAACTGCGAATGATTAACACGGGAGCTTTGTTTTGTTTTGTTTCGAGGCTTTTGCATCATCCATTGACACGGCGGCACATACTTTGCTGCTGGTTACAGATGGGCGTAGTATCTCCTGCAATGGGTTAGCTTCTGATGTTGCTGCTGTTGCAAGTTGAACCGGAGTTTGCGCTAAGGCGTGACAAAACAGTTGGAAGACCCGGGCCGCACTGAAAGCAGCGAATGTGGTAGCATCAGCACAAAGTCTCCGTCTCCCGGTTTTTCATTTTGGTCGGGCGGCTCGATCCATCTGGTCATCAGCTGGTTTCGCGAACTCCAAGCCCCAAGCCGAACCCCAACAACGAACAACAGGCCCGAACCGCCAGCCAGCCCGAGCGGCAGCGCAGCGCTGCTCGACCCCAAGCCGTTGGGTTGGGGGGGTTTCTTCGGCTGGGTTTGTTGTTTCGCCTTACACGAAATTGTTGCCAGAGAGCTCGTTTTCCCCCAGCAACATGGTTGCTAGGGCCGCTTCCGGCTGCTGCTGCTGCTTCTGCGCAACATGCTGCTGGACTGTAGCTAAATGTTGTACAAATATTTTAATTGATTTTTGTTTTGATGTTTAAACCATATAAATGCAATTAGATGAGTAACGATTATAAGTAAATATGTACATTGAATAAAATGATAATTGTATAGGTATTTATGAGGCGTCACAGCAGGATTCCCCTGTTAAAAACAAAAGCTAAATAAATAAACATTTTAATCATAACATAAATATGGTTCAATGAGAAAAGTGCGTATATAAATACATATTTTATCACACAATAAAAAAAACTGTTGACTAATTTGAAAAAACTGGACTGGCGAGGCTAAACATATTTTAAAATTGGAAAAATAAATGGTAAAAATCAATCAATAAATATTAAATAGATAGGGTAAGACCACCCTCCAATACGGGAAAACCCTCTTAACTCTCTTTGTTTATCTTTGGTTATGGTATAGGGGTGGGTGGGCATCGGGCATCCCTGACCTCTTTTGACAAGTCGCTCAGTGATAACGCTCACACAGGGACAGGCTCTAGGCTGTGTACTCCAAGCGCACTTGACTCACATTACAGAGAGCGATTACGTGAGCGACATTGAAATCGGATATAGTCAGGTCTGTACGCATGAGCTGAAGGCTGAAGTATTTTAATTTCTTTCATTACACATTTCAAAGCAGCCTACAGCCTACAGCCTGCTGGCACCACACACACTGAGAAACTACACTCCACACTCCACACTCCCGCGTGAACATGGATAGATCGATCGAGTGGTGTGTGGAGTGATGTGGAGTGGTTGTCCCCATCAATTTGATTGGATGTCAACCGATACAACTGATTTTATTGCTTGGACAAGTTAATGAGGTTCCAAGTTAATGCTGTCCGAGTACGAGTATGTCCAACACCAAACTCATTATCGAGACTGCCTAATGTTAATGCAAAATAATTTCGTGTGTGCGTATTTTGCATTTATTTCATTTTATGTTATGAGTTCAGATTGATTTTAATGCAAGTGCAGGCAGAGGCGAGGTTTGTTTCCTCATGAAGTAACAACAACATTTGATTTAAGTGATTCCTTTTTGGTCAGGCGCGATAGTTCAGGTCAATTAAATTGTAAACGTAATTAAAATGGCATATCAATCAACTGGAGCATTGATTAGCATACACAAGTTTTTGCCATTATGTGTTGTATCTTTAGTTCTCGAATGGTAAATCAACAGAAATGTCTGTTAAGATCACTTGGGTTTGACAAGTTGCCTTTGGTCTGGTATGGAGTGGCATGGGTTGGGGTCTGACTCTGTCCCGATCATTGCTGGGCAAAACAGGTCTTACAAAAAGATTATTATCGCTTTTATGGTGTTTTTATCGTTTTTACAGCATTTTTCGATGTCTTTATGATTGATCTCGGTGAAGTTTTCAGTCTGTTTTAACTGTATTTTTGGGCTAAACTGTGATTTGCTGCTGGTCTTTAGTTTTTCTTTGGGTGAGAGTGTGGGAGAATTTTTTTCGGCCAGCGGACGCAGCTTAATCGGATTTGATAATTATGATAAATTGGTATTGAAAGTGAGCGGTTGATATATGGTAATTTTACGGTTAGATATTAGTCTGGCTAAGCAAAGTCTGGCTTGGATTCGATTGAAACTGGGTTGGGAGTTACTAGTCATATCTTTATTTACATCAAACTCCACCCAGTTCTGTAGATTGTTTCTCATTTATTCTGGTTTCAGGTTCTAAATTGTATGAACTCGGCAACCCTGTACCCTATATGCGGTTACCGTTACGCTGACAGAGTTGCAGCGGCATTGAATTAAACACGAACTGAACGGTCGTATGACAGCTAGCAAGATTCGCATTGTTTTCCCCCACCTGTCATAACTCATACAAATATTCAATGAAAGCCACCTACCACACAGTGTGTGGTGTGTCGCCTTTGACGGCCTACGAAAATGCAAATTCCACACACTGAAATATTGATATTGAACGGCTGACTGACTGCAACAGTGTTGTGCCAGAGAACAGTCAACAGTCAGAACAAACCAAGCGAACAGCTGCAAAAAGTCACAGCTAACAACCCCCAGCCAATAGCCCAGGCACCAGCAATGACTTCGGTTTGCATTTATCTTTATGAGGAATGAGGTTGCCCACAGATAATGGAGCAGGAGTACCGCGGAGCGGAGTACGTTTACGAGTCATTTGCAATATCTCCAAAGCTGATACGCTCGTTTAAATTAGTTCTTTATGTAGCCCATGCATTTCATTTCAATTCAATTTCACTTCAGTTATTATTATAACGAGATTTTCAACTGCATTTGCACACAACTAAGTGCAATAATTTATGATAAATTGCAATCTAATCGGAAGAATAAAATATAATCGACGGCACAAGTCAAAAGCCCACAGAGTCACAGCTCGAGCCAAAGGCAGAGCCAAACCCAAAGTAATTTCTTTTAATTAACAATATGTTAATCGATTGGTGGGCTCCCTTTTCAGACACAGCTACAAAGTACAGGTTCCAACAGACAGACAGAAAGACGGACAATATTTCAGGTTCAGATCCCACAGTCACAGTCACAGAATCAATTTCAGGTTCAACAAACAGTGGAACGAATTTGCAGACTTGCAAAAGAAGCAATTCTTATCGGGATTTTGCCAATGAAACTTGGTATTGATCCCCCCTTAAATGCCGTCAACCGGCTGTCGCTGCATGAAGCGTATCGGATATGATTGAACGTACAATTAATGGTCGAGGGATTAGCGACAAGTACAAGCCACACATACACATATTGGATGGATGCTGTACAGCCGCTGGCAACAAATTAATCAACACATGCGATACGAGCACGAGTGGGTGTCTAGACTCTAGACCAGATGCAGAGACACAGAGAAACTCACAGAGATGTGGTGGAGTGGAGTGGTAGCACAATGCGAAATGAAGCTGGTTCTGAAAGGAGTTTGGCCCCAGAGCAAACATAAGTCAATCCATCAAGGCCAAGCAGCGATCGTTGCGGGGACAACTTATCAGATTCGATATCCTTACCAGCGCATGATGTAAGCCTAAGCCCTACTCCATGTGTCTCTGTTCTTTTTGAGTTGAATAAATCCGCGAATAACAATCAATTTTAATTTAATAATTTCATAGCCTGTTCAGCATTAAGATTCAATTCATTGTGGCCACATACTCGTACCATATGCAAAACATCAGGCAAATGAACTGATGCTGATCCCAGCTGATGCTAAAAATACTCGCCGGAATATTTGCGCTGATGTTTCGACTATATTTAGAGCTTCATTCAGAAAACACACACTTTTAATATTCATATAAGGCATAACAATGACAAAATTAAAGGAAAATGCATTCCCAGACACAGGAAAGAACGGAAAGATATACTTATACACACAGTTAACGACGATTGAAACCAGGAAAGACGAAGAAAAAAAGAAGAACATTTTCAATATTTATAGACTACGATAATGGCAATTGTTGGAGACGTTGTTCGCTAGTCCTGCTGCGCTGTGGTCTCCTCCAAATTGCAGAAGACATTACGCATTTTGTCTAGATCGGGTGGCGCCGTATCTGGGTTGCGTATCCACATGATGTAGGCCTGCTTGTCGGTGCGTGTCAGTGGCTTAAAGTTGCGCGGATTCTGCGCCTCCTCGTCCTGCAGCTTGGAGTTGTAGCGCGCGTACAGAAAGATCCGATAGCGCCAGTTGTCAAAGGTTTGCTTCCATTCGGTCACATGCTTGACGGCGCCCTGTGGCACCGCATTCAACAGATTGGCCAGCTTCAGCCAGTACGGATCCAGCACGGGATCGTTGCGTCGATGATCGTTGATGAATTGATGCTGCTGCAGAAAGTGCACGTAGAGTTCCTTCTGTCGCTTAGACATGCGTTCCTTGCGTTCTGAGGAAAGGAAAACCATTAGAGAGGGAGCGAAACTTGGTTATAGATCTTCCACTTACGTCGAATGTTATTCGTGGTGGTTGTGCCCATGGCCGCCATGCTAAAGACTTGCTGTTGGCCGGGCAATGGGTGCCCTGCAGCGACTGCTGCCTGTTGCTGCTGCTGCTCCTCCTGCTGCTGCTGCTGCTGCTGCTGTAGCAGTGCCAAATGTTGTTGCTGCTGCTGCTGCAAGTGCTGATGTTGCTGCTGCTGCTGTATCATAAACTCGTGCTGTATGCGCTCCTGAAGCAGCTGCTGCTGCTCTTCCTCGTGCTGCTGTTGCTGCTGCTGCAACTGATGATGGTGGGAGGTTGGTGGCGGTGGCAACGGCAAGGATGCTGGCAAAGGCAATGGCGGTGGTGGCAGCTGCTGTGAATGCGGCGAATCCGGCAGCTCATCCTGAGTATCGTAGTCCATCTTCGGGCTGCAGGCCTCATACGCGGGCATGCCCAATTCCGCCGAGGCCGCGCCGCTGCTGCTGGTCTTATCGATGCGATACTTCATGCTCTCCTCGTGCTCATCCTCCTCGCAGGCTGGCATGGCCAAAATGGGTGTGGGTGTCGTCTCCAACACGCTGCTGGGCTGACACAGGTTCGTGGGCTCCTCGGGTGTGGGTGAGTCGTTCAGGAGTTTCTGCTCCGCGCAACGGCACTGCCGATTCAAGACGTAGTTATCCAGAGCCACATCGTACACTGCAAGAGGAAGGAAATGTCATTAAAGCAGTCGATTCACAGTGATTCTTAGAACTATTATAGACAATGAGGCTGTCAGGTTTTAGCTTAAACATATTGTATTTTGCGCTTAGCATTAGTTAAAGTACACATCAACAGATCGTTCGTAATAT